GCTTGCTGTGGTAACCCCTGAAGAATGGAGCAGCTGAAAAAAACTCAATGTGGCAGCAGAGAGACACTGCAGGCCAGACCTGGGAATTACTGTAAATACTAGAAAAGCTTGCTGCATGAAATAAATTATAATAATTCATAGAAAAGCTAAGCTGTGTAAAATGAAATATAAATGTTGGAAGATAAGCAAAAACAACTACCTGTACATACAGTATAAACTGTATCATTCTACTAAAACTTAAGAACATATATAGATTCATAAAAGACTTTACTTGGGTCCAGATCTGGACCTCAGTCCACCTGTTGGGGAGTCATGCTTTAGGTTTTAGTTCAGTGGTTTTAGGCAGTCCCTAGGTGTGAGTGAAAGAGTGAATGGTTGTTTGTCTCATTTTTCTCTATGTGTCCTTGTGATGGACTTGCAACATGTCCAGGGTGTACCCCGCCCCTCGCACAGTAATTGCTGGACATGGGCACCGGCGACCCCCATGACCCAAAATGGAAGAAGCGGGTAAAAGATAATGGATGGATGGATTTTAGGCTAGAGTTCTTCAGGCGATCACCAGTTTTACAAAATAGAATGTGTTTGTTCAACCTTAACCCTAACTATAATTATAATAATTATAATAATATTAGGCAGCACGGTGGCGCAACTGGTAGAGCTGCTGCCTCTCAGCAAGCAGGTCCCTGGTTCAAATCTCGGTCTGGGGGCCTTTCTGGGTGGAGTTTGCATGTTCTCTCCGTGCATTCATGGGTTTTCTCTGGGTACTCTGGTTTCCTCCCACAGACAAAAAACATGCACGTTAAATTGATTGGTAACTCTAAATTGTCCCTAGGTGGGTGTGAGTGAATGGTTGTTTGTCTCGTTTGTCTCGTTTGTCTCTATGTGGCCCTGTGATGGACTTGAATCCCGTCCAGGGTGTACCACGCCCATCGCACAGTGATTGCTGGACATGGGCACCGGCGACCCCCGTGACCCAAAATGGAATAAGCAGGTAAAGATAATGGATGGATAGTTGATTGTCCTGTTTTTTTTTTTTATTTTTTTTTTTTATTGTTTTGTTGTTGTTTTTTTGCAGCCAGAGGGTCCTGGGTTTGACTTCCAGCTGAAGACTTCCATCATTCAGTCAGCATGTACTTTGCATGTATTAATATTTTTTTATGTATTGTTTTGTTTTCACAGGGAGTGGTGGCACAGAGGTTAGAGAAGATGGGACTGTGATTGGAAGGTCGCTGGTTCAACTCCCTGTACCGACAACATCAAAATGTGGGTGGGAATAGTGAGGCACCCACATCTGCCTCCACCTTCATTTGCTCCACTCTGAGCCCTTGAGCAAGACCCTTAACCCCCACCATCTGGTCCTGCAGGTGCCCTAGATAGCAGCTCTCTGCTCCACACAGAGGGCTGTGGTAGCTCAGTGGTCTGTGGATGTGTCAGGAAGAGAATCTGGCATAAAAATAATTGTCAAGTTTCGTGGGAGTCAGTTCGCTGTGGTGACCCATGAAGAAGGGAGCAGCCGAAAGAAAATTAAAAAGAAAGTTAAGTTTTCCTCAGGCTATGATTATTGGTAACATGTGGAAATCATGTGAAAACATTAACACGAGCCAAACGTAAAACTTGTACTTTGAATGGTTCTTGTGTGAATTTGGTCCCAAAACACAAAATTTGGAGAGACACAT